GAATATAAAATGATTGAACATAAATGGTTAGCTATCTATATATAAGTAAAAACCATTCTCTCCGTTGAGCAGTCTGCATTCCGAAACTCATCGAAAGTATTGCAGTCTTTCTGTATACATGCATATGTGTGTGTGTGTGTGTGTGTGTATATATATATATATATATATATATATATTATATATATACATATATAAAACGCATGTATATATGTATGTATGTTAATATATGCATATAGGTGGAGTAAATTTTTTGTTTTTTCTTCTCTTTATAATATTCCTGTGATTCATTATTCTACATACATACATTAATCTACAAACGTAAGTTGTATGTACGATTATTACATTTTAATAAATATAATTAATAAAAATGATTTTATTTATTTACTAGTATTCATAAAATAATATTTTTTTTTATCTTATTAAAGGATTTGCCTGCTGAAGACTTTATCTGCCCTGCAAGATAGCATATCCATGTATGATATTGATATATGTGTGTTTGTACATATTAAAAATACAATGTCTGAAAAAATCAAACTGTGTGTTACCGTCAACCAGCGTGAAGTGTAAAGACTTGAGAAACCGTAACCGTACTTTGCTGTCGGATGACAAGATTTGTTATCAACAGTTTCATACTGAATCTCCTTAGAGAAGGAGTTCTCTAAATTGTCTTAGTGTTGCGCAATTTAACAATCCTTTCTTCTTTAGGAAAATTTCTTTGCGTTAAAGGTAAATGAAACAAATAGTGTAAATAATATTATCAATATTAATTCACATATTTATTATTATACAAAAATGTTAGCTACTTCTACATAATAATGACATGATTTACGTTGAAATATAAATAATTTTAAAAAATATGAATATTTTGTAAAAAAATGTTTATTAAATAGATGACGTTCAAGTCTTTAACAAATTTTGGAGGCTTTGGGAAAGCTCCTTGGGACAGACCTATCGAGCGTTATCACAGTGACGGAAGTGGCTATCATCATGGATATCGTAGGTACGTTAAATCAAATTACATCTAATTACATCTAAATTCATTAATATTAAAATTTGTATAGATATTTCACAAAATGATTTTTTTAATAAAATAATCTTCTGAATTTCAGAAGTTCCAAAGGAAAGGGTGGAAGTAGCGCTGCACTGAGTGCGCTGACCTTACTCGCTT